GTGTGTGTGTGTGTGTTGTCCATCTGATGATACTATGAGAGAATGGCATTCAGAGAACGGTATGTAGAAAGCAGCTGATGGGAGAATCATACACACCAATGCACACACACACTCATTAACAAACTATTAAAATCATTTGGTCAATAAAAAGTTCGGAAAAAGATCAGCACACACATACATCAGATATAGAGTGACGCTTCTAGTGCGCACATAGCAACACCAGCTGTGTGCTGTGATAACCAAACAAACAGAGAGTTAATGTCCTCTATAAGATGTCTCTGAGTGTGTGTATGTATGTGTACACACACATGTGGGAGGGGAGGGAGGTGAGTCAGTGAGAGGAGACAGCAGGACAAGTGGCTGCAGTGAGAAGGAAAAGTGGTAGAAACTGGAGCAAGTGTGAACCAGAGAGTGATGCAAATAAACAAGACATGAAGACATAAAAGGACAGGCTGGGCTCTGGAGCGCAGCCCAAAGACAAACTCGCTTGCAGTTATATTTCATACGAAAAACATAACGTCTTTATGCAAAAAAAACTTCCTGGACAATAACATGGAGATATGAGGTTTTCACCCACTAACAGTGGGTTAGATTTACCGATGAGGAAGTCGTTATATCCATCGATGCTCTCTTCACTGCCTTCATCTTCCTTTTACCTCACAGAACAGTTAGTTGCTGGTCTACCACTGCTTTAATTAGTTTGTTTGTGAGTTTGACGTCTTAACAGACTGTATATGATGACATGAACTCTCTATCCGCGGGCCGTCCGGTGCAGCAGTGTGACCCCCGAGACCCCCGGGACCTCTGCAAGCTGCAGCATTCTTTCCGCCTGTCCCTGTCCTGCTCCGTGTTCCCTTGTCGTTTGTTTGTCACGTGACCAGTGTATAAAAACCTTTGCACTGAAAACCGGTGTGTGTTGCTCCTGACTTTAGTATAACACATCACTAGAGAAGCTGCAATCAGCAAATGAAACGGTCGGTTTTAAAGCAGGCAAATCGACATTTAGTGCAACTTTCTAATGGTATCTTAAAACAGTGGTAAGCAAACAGGCATTAAGAGAGATTGGAGATACCACACGAGCAGGAGAAAAACAAAATAAAATAGTAATGTGTCTGTCTATTTTATTAGTGATGGATGAACACATTAATTACTAATAAAATAGACAAAACCAAATTAAAATAAGTTTATTGTCAATTACAATTCTACTAGAAACAGATTAGTCAGAAGGTGCTTTTACTGTTGTGTGGTTGAAACAAATGTATAAATAAATCAGTTCATTAATCACGGGCTGATACACTTGATAAAGAAGCTGATACTTGCTTCCTGCGTTCGTCAAATTTTTACAGAGCACGGCTGTTTGTTGATGGTACCCCATCTGCGTTTGCATGTGTCCGTACATACAGCAGTGTGTGCGTACAGCAG